ACGCCCTCAAGTAAGTCACATGACCTCACCCCGCAGACTGAACAAAATCATGAATCATTATTGCAGCTATCACTGACCCACACTATATGTAAATTATAACCTTTCCATTCATTGATCAATAAAATTGTAAGTAATGCTTGTATATTGTATAGTCTATTTTCGCTTTTTTAGTAGTATTCATATAGAATAATAATAATATACTGGAATGACTGGAATCCACTGGACTCCACTGGACTCCACTGGACTCTGACTGGACTCATAGTCCACTGGACTGGGACTGGACTCAGGAAAGTGGCTGGCAGTCCAGTGGGAGTCCACTGGACTGGACTCCAGTGGACTGGGCATTCTGCCAGCCAATCTGGCCTGGTAAGAGGGCCACTGGAATCCACTGGAGTCCATATGGATTACGTGGGGGAGGGTAAAGACCTCCCATCAACCTATACATAGTCAAGGACACCAAAAACTAAATGTCAGAAAAGCAGACTACATACCCTTAAAAGTAGACTATACAAACTTATGAAAAAGCAGACACTACAAACTTTTCTAGTGGATGGCCTAGACAATTATATGTCAATAACTGTAGTCAAGGGTATCAGTAAATTTTTGTAGTCTGTGTCCAACTTTTGTAATATACAATTTGTAGTCTTTTGTGGTCTATGTCTGACTTTTTGTAGTTTCTTTGTAGTCTATTAGTAAACTTTGTAATCTATATCTGACTTTTGTAGTCTATCAGTAATCTTTTGTATTCTCTCAGTGTCAATTTCCCTTTTAGGGTATGCACCTACCTTTTTGGGTGAATTTTCCCACAATATGGTATTTGTAGCTGCTTCTCTTAGCTTTTTAAAGGTGTTGAAATCATGTTGTTTGGTGTTGTTTTCATGGAGAAAAATGCAAAAAGAAGAAAAAAACAGGGCGCTTTTGAAGATCATTTATCTCATATCTCCACAACGGGAACACTTTTGAACATAATTCAAACAGATTCAGGAAGCTACATTGCAAGGCTACAACTTTCTTTTTTTGACCATTTTGGGAAGTTGGTCATGTGACCACCCTCCCAAGAGCCCATCATGTATCAACAATGAAATGCCCTGTACATTCTAATGAAATGTGCAATGAAATACACTGGACATTCTAATGAAACCACAATGAAATACCCTGGACATTCCAATGAAACATTCAATGAAATCACAATGAAATACCCTGGACATTCTAATGAAAGCATAATGAAATATCCTGGACATCTCAATGAAATATTCAATGAAAGCGCAATGAAATACCCTGGACATTCTAATGAAATGCACAATGAAAGCATAATGAAATATCCTGGACATCTCAATGAAATATTCAATGAAAGCGCAATGAAATACCCTGGACATTCTAATGAAATGCACAATAAAAGCACAATGAAATATCCTGGTCATTCTAATGAAATATTCAATGACAGGGCAATGAAATGCTCTGGACAATCTAATGAAAATGAAATGAAATACCCTGGATATTCAAATGAAAGCACAATGAAATATTCAATGAAAGCCCAACGAAATATCCTGGACATTCTAATGAAAGCCTAATGAAATATCCTGGACATCTCAATGAAGTATTCAATGAAAGCGCAACGAAATCACCAGGGCAGAGATATGAGATCAGTAATGAAACCAGTATGAAGACTTAT